TCTCTCTCCTCTTTCAATCTTAGCACAGTTCTTTTTTTTAAAAGACCCGGTCGTCTCGCTCCGTATTAATAATATCCCATAAGTCAACTGCGAGATGACCGCGCGCCGTGCAGCCGCGGCGCAGAGGGCCTGATGCCCGCCACGAGACACGCCGCTAATTACTCCCAAAATTTGGATTGCGCCGTCATTAAAATCCGGGGTGAGGACGAATTCAAGTTCTGCTTCGACGCTGCTCTTATCCGAAAACGATCACCCACAGAGGCGCCAGAATAACTCGATAATGCATTTATATATCGGGCGTGCATGTAGGTTGTGGCAAGAAAGATCCTCAACATGATCGAACCGAGATTCTCGATGCTTACGCATTGTTGTGTGGCTTGCTAAGACTTCTAGGAGAGAGTTGAGGGAGGACATGGCGGCTCGCTGCTCTTTTGCAGTACCCATTAATGCTACAGTACCGCGGTACTGTTCACAACTATGGCTGCGAGACTGAGAGAGATGGCTGTGCAATCACATCACTTGCCCCATGCGGTCAAAGAGGAAGGATTTCCATTCTTAATTCTTGCTTGATTAGATCGATACATCTCCTCTCCTTATATAGAGAGGTTTACTTGACTCCCAAGCAAGACTTACTTGACCCTTAAGTAAGCGACCCTTATCTCTAATGAACCCTAATACTAATGAGCTATACAGCCAACCCAGGCCCAATAGGCCCCTAACGTACTCTAACAGATTATATATAACTTCGGTGCAGCTGCAAAGTGAAGTACAGAAACGTTAGCAGTCCGAATTGTTTCATGCAACAGTTGAGGTATCAGACAAGTAGGATGTTTATAGAAGCTTCTAAAAGATGGAAAGTTTATACGGGTAGAGGAAGAATGGAGGAGAGATAGGATGGAGTCACAGATCTGTCTTGAGCTGCAGTTCGCCAGGGTTTCAAGTTCTAGCCCTTTCACCCCTAGCTCCTCACAAATATTGGCTGGTTGTTCTCATCCTCATACTTCAGCAACTCATATTTACAAGATTGAAGATCAACAAGCAAAGCAGGACAAACATCACAAGTAGAAAAGCAATTTTAGATCTAGATAGCAATATAGCATGACCAAGCTTCTTTCACATTCTTTCAACTTAGCACAGTTCTTTTTTTTTTTTGAAAGACCCGGTTACCCGGCTTTGTATTAATAATAAGAGGGAAAGAAGTCACAACTTCAGGTTACATGCGCGAGAGGTGCAGCCTAAACGCAGAGGGCCTGCGCAGGCGAACGAGAATCACAAGCTAATTACTCCCAAAATTTGGAACAACCCAAAGAGGTGAGAGGACCTTCCCTCCAGCGTAAGACCATGTGGAGCAGGTGTCCTTGATCTCTGAGAAGAGGGCCTGCGTTGATTTCCTCGAATCTCTAAAGATGACGTCGTTTCTTTGCTTCCAGATGCTCCAAAGTGTTAAGATTGCTAACGTGTGTGCCATCTTCGAACCTAAGTCTGTCATATTCAGACACCATTCCTCAACGTCGTCTTCTATTGTCCAATTTGGTGGTGCTAGGTTGGTGCAGGCGCTCCAGCTCGCTATCATCATCCAAATTTCTCTTGAGTATGGGCATTCAATGAATAGGTGGCTGGCTGTTTCAACGTTCCTCTTGCATAGCGCACAGAAGTAATTGCTTTTCCATTCACGAAGTTGTAGGCGGGCTGCAGTCCATAGTTGATTTTGCAAGAGGAGCCAGATGAAAACTTTGCATCGCGGCGGCGCCCAGGCTTTCCATATCAGCTTTGGGAAGTTTGAGAGTACCTGCCCCATGAATTGGATTCTGTAGGCGGAGCTGGCAGAGTACACTCCGGATCTCTCCAGTGTCCAGATTATTTCATCTTCCCTGTTGTCATGTAGGTCTAGCTGGGTTGATTGGATCGCAATCCACAGTCTGAAATAATCCTGCAACAACTCGTGGTTCAGGTTGTAGGCAATATCTTTAATCCATCGCTGTCCTAAGATGGCCTCTCTGACAGTGCGCTTCTTTCTTCTACTGTGCTTGTACAGACTAGGGAAGAGGGATGATGGAGCTTTGCCATCTAGCCAGCTAGAGTTCCAAAATGATGCCTTGCAGCCATTGTGTACTTCGACTTTTGTAGCGGCATTGAAAAGAGCCATATCTGTAGAGTCAATAGGCAGAGGAGTCCCCTTCCATGGGCGGTCAGGGCTGCACCATTCAAAGCATAGCCATCTTAGCCTCAATGCTCTGCTGAAACATTCCAGGTCCAGTATGCCGAGCCCGCCAAAATCAACTGGCATGGTGACGTATGGCCATCCCACTTTACATTTGCCTCCTGAGATTTCACTGTCGCCAGCCCAGAGGAAGCGATGCCTAGCTCTGTCCAGATCTTCTAGTAGTTACTTCGGTGCTTTGAGCGAGGTCACGAGGTAGATGGGGATTGCACTTAGCACTGATCTCACCAATTCGCGCCTTCCAGCTGTGTTTAGTAGCCATCCTTGCCACCCCGCCAATCTATCTCTTGTTTTGTCCAAGACGCGCTGGACGTGAACCACTTTCAGTCTTCCAAGCGTTAGAGGTAGTCCCAAGTATGTTATCGGAAAGCCGACTCTCTGACCCGGGAAAGCCTCCAGGATTGAATTCAGGTCCAAATCAGTGCATATTATGGGGGCCACTGTAGACTTTTTCCAAATTTAAATGCAGCCCTGTCGCCTCACCAAAGTTTTCCAGAATTGCGAAGAGGGTTTGAACATCATTTTTAATCGGGTTCAGGAAAATAACAGCATCATCAGCATAGAGGGAGAGCCTGAGTTTCGCGCGTCGTCCTCGTAGGGGGGAGATGGCACCATCCATTGTTGCGAGTTCCAGTACTCTCTGCAAGGTGTCGATAGCAATGATGAAAAGGTATGGGGACAATGGATCACCTTGCCTGAGCCCTCTAGCATGGTTTATTCTCCTTCCTGCAACACCATTTAGAAGAGCCGCAGAGTGGGATGTTCTGAACAGAATTGAAATCCAGTCTCTCCATCTTGGACTGAAGCCTCTGTGTTCCAGGAGCTCAAAAATATATTCCCACGAAACGGTGTCAAAGGCCTTTGAAATGTCCAACTTGAATAGGAGTGCCGGCGTCTTTGTTCTGTGATAGGCCCTTGCTAGATTCCTGACATATATGAAGTTATCTTGTATGCAGCGGCGTTTTATGAATGCACTCTGTACATTTGACACAAGTGAGCTGATGTGTGTTGATAGCCGGAGCGCCAGAGTTTTCGTAATCAGCTTGCCAAAGGAGTGCATCAGGCTGATGGGTCTCAAATCCCTTGGTTGTTCAGCCACCTCTGTTTTTGGAATTAGAACAATGTTTGCACCATTCATTTTCTCCAACGGACCTGCACGAAGCTCATAGAAACAGTCCATTGCTGCAAGGACGTCATCTTTGATCATTGACCAGCATTGTTTGTAGAAGGATCCTGTGAATCCATTAGGGCCGGGGGCCTTTTCCGGTGGCAATTCCTTGATCGTATAGCTAAGCTCAGCCATTGTGAAGCGAGCATCCATTTCTGGGTCATTTATTTTTGGCAAGTCTAGACGGCTCCAGTCAAAGGTACAGGACCGCTCCATTCTAGTTCCCTGGACATTGGAGAAATATTGGAAAATAATTTCCTCTTTTGCTTCATGGTCCCAGACCAGAACACCATCATCAGACTTTAGGTATGCAATCAAATTTCTCTTTCGCTGCCCCTTTGCTTTTTGATGAAAAAATTTCAGATTTCAAAGTAGGACAAAGCTTGCCTGTACCAAGCAAAAAAGTCTAGACTTGACTTCCTCTAAAGCAACCTTAGCTATCTCAAACTCATAAGCCATGGAAGCATACTTATGTTACACATCAATAAGTTTTTCTATATAAGCAGCTCATTGATCACACTCAGTTTCATCAACAACTGTGGAGTAGATTTTAGAAGGTCAAGTCCTTTAATAAATTTCAACTTGTGATCAAGCAGAAGAAACCATTCAGCACATATTAACATCCTGTGTCTTCACACGTGAGTTCTGGTTCAGAATTTTGTCACCAGTAGGTCTCCAAAGGTGCGTGCCAGACAACAGGGATCAAGAGTTCGCAGGCTCGTGGAGAAAAGCAGCTAAGCGGGTACCCAAAGAAAAGAAGAAAGGTTTCAACACTTTGATCATCCTGGGTGCATGGCCTTCTCTGGAAACATAGGAATGCTTGTGTACTCGAAGGAGCCAGCCCGAGCATGAATGATTTGCTCCGCTCCTTTGATGATGAGCACCATCTTTGGCGCCTTGCAGGGGCAAGAAAGCTTGGCGCTTTAGGTCAGGAGGTGGCGACAACCTAGCTGTTGTCAATAGTTCGTGTGTTGTGGGTCAGGTCATACCCTGTGTTTGTGTTTTAGTGATCTAGGCCTTGTTGTAACTTAGCACCTCCACAGCTCGGGCCGGAGTGGGGGGAGGCTTCTTGTATGGGTCCGTTTTTTCCTCTCTTAATGCAATGATACGCAGCTCTCCTGCGTATTCGAGAAAAAAAATTCAACTTGTAATAAGATCTAATAAATCCGAACCACTCTTTATTGTATGGATAAAATATGACGAACCTATCTACTCCCTTAGTCACTTAAGCTATGTAGCAGGTCCTTATACCTTCATGAATTACATCATTTGCCATGCTTTTCCACCTTTGAGGTGTTTACTTTACCAGGTCCTTGCATCAATGAGACAACAATCTTGTGTACAAATAATAAAACAATATTCGTCCCCACATATTATATTTGAATTAGGTATCGAAATAACAATTACCCTATAACGCAGCCTAGATGTCTACATGAATTCTTTTTGTGAATATGACTTAATATACTTTTCTTTTGTTCTGGAACAACTGCCTGTGTTGTATAACTATCATAAATAATTCTCATAATGAGCCATCTATGATAACCATTGTCATAGGTATTTTAGAATCACGTGTGATAGCCATTAAAACAAACACTCAATCCCAAATGGCTCATGATCCGTTCAAAAAACCATGTGAGGTCCTGGACATTTTGGGATCAGCATTTTGGTAGCAGTGATCTTCTGGTATGTACTTATTGATTTGTACAATTGATTAGAGCACACATGTCTGGCCAGAAAAATCTGTCAGTCAATTATATGTAGCTTCAACAAAATAAGGTCCGGTCGATCGTGACCTCACTGTACTTATTGGTTCCTTTATTTCAGGAGATCTTTGGGTGGGATATTGATGAGGCCAAAGAGCAGATACTTGAATTTGTTAAGGGAAGGCCAGAGAAAAAAATTATATATTTTCATGGATGGGATGGTTTTGGGGCGTCCCCAGTCCTCAATTCCATAGCAAATGAACTTTCATCACTGAAAATGGATGCTCCCCAGGAACTATGCTTTGACAAAGTATTGTACATTGACTGCTCGGAATGGAAAAGTAGAAGGGAAATGCAGAGAGCAATTGCAGAGGAACTGAAACTTGACCATGGAACAATGGCTATGTTTGATAACCAGGATGAGGAGGATGACTTCAATGGACTGGATAAAGACTCTAGGGATGTGATAGCAAGTATTGCAACAGAGATTGATCGAACACTGAGGGACTGTAAATTCATGATGATTTTTCTTAATGGAAGTGATAATGAGGTCGATGTCACTAGATTTGGCATTCCTCAGATGACGGAATTCCGTAACAACAGAATGATATGGACATTCAAGAGAAGGTTGCTGATGATTCATAGCCACCGTTCTGAGATAGCAGAAAAGTTAAGATACAGCCACCTTTTCCTCTCCGCTGCACTTGTGCATGGAGAGTATCAGATCAGAGAGCCAGAATTTTGTGCACTGGTGCATGGAGAGGCTACTACCATAGCTGCTCGCCACCAATGCATGCTGGATATGGACACAACAATGGTGACAGAATGTTGCCTCTTTGAGCTATCCCTACATTATAATTTCCACAGTATGACTAGATTGGGTTGGGCTGCTCATTCTTCTAACTACTGGATATGTTCTGGAATCATAGAAGGCAATAAAGAAATGGAGATCAGAAATGCATTGCATGGAGAGATAAGATGGGAGTGCGATGCTCCTTTGCTTCATCGTGTGCTTCAAGAATTGAATCCTACCTTTTCAGTAAAGAAGATTACAAAGCCTCTAGCTGTTTCTACGAGGTGTCTAGTTAAAGATCGTTGGATTTCAATCACCTCCCAGGAACATGAAGTGGATGGTATGCAAGATATACCAGTAAGAGCATCGTCGGTCTTCTTGGCATTTGAAAGACCAGGTCACCTACAACCATCTGAAGGATCAGATCATCCACCACCACTGGAAGGACAAGATTGCCCAGCCGTATTGCCATCTGGCATGTTCAAATATTCCAGGAGCCTTGCAGTGCTGGTTCTCTCTTATTGTACCTTCAGTTTTGCATCACCGCCTTTCCTCATGTGCAATAGCCTAAGATTCCTTGGTTTGGACAACTGTAAGCACAAGCCAAGTGAACGATATTGTGATACAGATGCAGAGTGGACATTCTTGCTTAGTCTATGGGTGCTCGAGATACGCTACACAGAATGGGATGAGATACTATCCAAATTGAAGATGGATCTCATGAGTAACCTGAAGGAGTTACATATAGAGGGAGTTAGGAGCTGGCAGTACATCAATCAACTAAGTAAAATACTACCCCACCTTTATATGCTAAGGATTACCAATCCTAGGATTTATCAAGCGGAAACAATAGATGCAGATGACTCATTTATGGACGAGGGAAAGCTACAAATACTTGATCTGTCTGGCAACAACGAGATGAAAGTTGTACCAAGTAGCCTATCAAAGCCAAGTAACCTTCAGGTGCTTCTTCTTGATGGCTGCCTTGGACTTGAATGTGTTGGTGCACCTCATACGCTTCCACCATCTCTCATTTCCTTCAGCCTCGATGGCTATGGAGCAGCATCCCATTGGACACCAGCTATTAATCTACTACCTCCTGAAAATTTGCGTCCATCTTCTACAGATCAGAAGGATGCCAAGATCTCCAGGATATGCCTAGAGGGCTGCACCAGTTTGAAGAATTTGTTTCTGCGTGGACTACCTAATCTTGTGGGGCTGGACCTGTCAGGAACTGGAATCAAGATACTTGACTTTACAACTATGGTGATGCAAGTCACATGTCTCAGACGATTGTTTATGCTGGGCTGTGAGCGCCTTGTTGCGATAAGATGGGATCAGAAGAGTCGATACGTTATACATCCACAACTAGAGCTCCTATGCATTGACACACGAGCTGGGACTGGATATTCTCGGCCATCCATAGACCATACCAAAAAGTCCTTCAGGCTGCAGATACATGCCATTCTTTCGGATGCAAGGCTTGCTCGATCCTTGTGGCCAGCAATAGACTGCTACAGAGGCAAGGGCAGCCTTGTGGATATTTATTTTAATATCATTGTCACCTCTGCGCCTGTTGTGTATTGTGGGGAGGATGTTCAACCTGTAGCTACCCACAGGGTGCTTGCAAAGGCAAAGAAGTATGGTGATGTCCATGCCACGGCTGGCGATGCTCCCATGCAGGATTTCCCGCAGGCTCCGACTGCCGATTTGAATCGCCATGTAGGGATTGCCCAGGGGAGCCGTGGTCTGGAGAGCGAACTGCTTGGATATTTCCCTGCGCGCAATAATTTGGCTCTTCTGATGAGAAGGTGTGCTGACTCCCTGCACCTGCATGACATCTCAAGCGGTGCAAACATGCCCATGAATGAATGGAATTACCTTAGGCAATGTCGTGTGGAGAGGTGCACCAAGTTGGATACCGTCTTCCCAGGAACATATGGCTTCGAGGCTCTGGAGATTGTTTGGGCATCGGATCTCCCGATGGCCCGCTGCATCTGGAGCAAAGGTGGTTCCTATCACCGTTACAGCACCTTTGGAAGGCTGCGGCACCTGAACTTGCGCTCCTGCCCCAGACTCCGGTTCGTGCTTCCAGTGTGGGTCTCCTCCTTCCCCAAATTAGAGACACTCCACATCATCCACTGCATGGACCTGAGGCATGTATTCGTGCTGGACGAAGAGCACCCAGAGGCACGCGTAGCATTCCCCAACCTGACCACTATCCACCTGCACAACCTCCCAATGTTGCGGCAGATATGTGAGGCCCAGATGCTGATGCTGGCTCCCGCACTCATGACCATCAAGATCAGGGGATGCTGGGGCCTACGCCGACTGCCATCCATGGAACGCCGTGGCATACACATGGAGAAGCCGACGGTCGAGATCGAGAAGGATGTCTGGGATGCGCTGAAGTGGGACGGGTTGGAGGCTAGCCACCATCCGTCCCTCTTTGCGGAGCCACACCACTCATGCTACTACAAGAAGAAATCGCTCAGGGGATCTGCCCTCAGGTAACCTTTTTTCCCATCATTCTTTGTCCTGATGCTAATTTCATATGTTAGTTTTGCTTACTCGTTTTTTCTCTCTGGCAATGTCGTACATTGCCTAGGTGAGCTTCGAACTCATTGATTCTCCAGCTACGGATCCTGCCACTTGCATGTTTGTTGTGCTCCATCGTGTGCTTGTTTTGTTAGCCATCCCATCGACGGTTCTTCCATCATAAACTTTCTTTTTGATGGTCTTGTCGTGTGATAAACTTACAGGTGTGATTCTGTTGGATATGTCAAGCATGCATGTATCGTTTCTGTTGTTTCGGTTTATTAATACTTCAGAGCTCAGTGTACTGGTCGTCGGTTGATTTTTTAGTGCGACCACAGTGAACTGTTCTTTGTTTAATCATTGCATCATTGTTTAATTGTTTTGCTCCTCATTGATTCGAGTATCTTAAACATCGTACTTAGGGTTAGTGGCTTTGTTGTGAGCAAGTGCCCTAGGCTGAGTAAAAGAGATTCGCCTTGAACGGGAGGAGAAAAAATTAAGACCACTTCGGTCTTACAATTGTTTGTGTCCTGTTCAGACACATTGACGGGGCCGTGGTAGTGTCTTTTTGGGCGGTCTCAATGGAAGTTTCATTAGATTTTTATAGACATTAAATAAGCTGATATGCCATAGTATAAATGAAGAGAGAGAGATAAAAAATATTTTATAGGATGAAATGAGTTTCATGATGATGAAACTTGGCTACATTGTTTCTAACATATTCCTAATCAGGTGCGCATAGTGTGTCATTGAATCTGCTCTCCTATGTAATATTTCATCATCTTCCTTTTATTTGTTTGCAAAAAAGTATTTCAGAATATGTTACCACTGCGTCGTGTGTTCTTTTTTATCTGGATAGGCTAAGTGTTGGCTTAGCTCAGAATATGTTACCACGGCTTCGCACGACTTGCGTGATCCCACGTACATACGATCCCACGTACATACGCGAGTTTACGGTAGTCTCAGGTACGTCGGTTTTTATTTTTTTCTATTTCTATTTCTTTTTCCTTTTTTTTTCTGTGGTGTTTTATTTTTTCTTTTCTTTGTACTATTTCTTTTTTCCCGTTTCTTTTCTCTTTTGTGGTGCTTCTATTATTTTTTGTCTTTTATTCTTTATATTTTTCTTTCTTTTCATCTTTTATTCTTTTTTATTTTTCTTTCTTTTCTCTTTTTCTATTTCTTTTTTCCTCTTTCTTTTTATTTCCTTTTTAGTATTTCTTTTTTTTTTCTTTTCTCTTTTTTAATTTTTGTTGTGTTCTATTATTCTTGTCATATTTTATTCTTTTTTATTTTTCTTTTCTTTATCTTCTATTTCTTTTTTCGTTTCTTTCTTTTTTTCATTTTTCTTTTTTCGGTGGTCTTTTTATTATTCTTTTTGTTTCCTTTTACTATTTTCATTTCTTATTGTATGTTTTTCTTTTATTTTTTTCCTTTCATTCATTTATTTTCCTATTTATGTATAATTTTATATTTCACTTTTTTTTTTTACAGATACACACGATGTTCATGTAGTATATATCTAATGTTCTATGATGTATTTGTTTATGTCTGCGAGTAGAAATATGATGTTCTACGATGTTTTTTTGATGTTCGGTAAGCTTACATTGATGTTCTAGAATTTTTTGGTGATGTTCAGTAGCATTTTTCTTCTTTTTATTTGACTCTAATTAATTATTTTACTATTTGTATTATTTTATTTTATATTTTCATGATTTTGTGATGTTCACGTAGTATACATATGATGTTCTATGCTATATTTAGTGGTGTTTGTGTAGTGTTAATGTGACGTTCTACGATGTATTTGTGATGTTCGGTAGTATACATTAATGTTATAGGATATATTTTTTTGTTTTTATATTTTATGATATATGTGATGTTCACGTAGTATAAATATGATGTTCTATGCTATTTTTTGTGATGTTCGTGTAGTGTTAATGTGATGTTCTACGATGTATTTATGATGATATTCTATGCTATATTTAGTAATGTTCATGTAGTGTTAATGCGATGTTCTACGATGTATTTGTGATGTTCGGTAGTATACATTGATATTATAGGATATATTTTATTTTTATTTTTTTATGGTTCATGATATATGTGATGTTCACATAGTATACATACGATGTTCTATGCTATTTTTTGATGTTCGTGTAGTGTTAATTTGATGTTCTACGATATACTTATGATATTCCATAATATATATGTAAATATTTTTTTTCTAAATATATTCAAGTGGGATTTTGATTTGAAGTATTTAATGTAAGAAACACAATGGTGCAATCGAAATTTAATTTAGATGTATATTTTGGTAGTTATAACTTTTAAAATTTTTAAACCACTTGTGCATGCAACAGTAATGAGGAGCGGGAGGGGGGGGGGTTCAGCGGGTGGGCCGTCTGCTGCCATAATTATTCTTTTCTCAGCGTGGGGGAGCGCGAGGGGGGGAGGGGGGGTCGGCGGGAGCACCTATGCGCCAACCCGGTGGCAGATACTCACGTGCCGACCAAGGGAATTATTCCGTGCCAGCTCGCTATTTCATCCAATGGCCTAGCCCTAGCTCCCACGTTCTCACCTCGTGCTAGCCCGGTCCATCTTTTGCGGGCGAGAACAACGCATTCAGGAGTTCCCTGCTCACGCAACTCCGTTGGTTCCCACCAGCGCACAACATGTGGGCGTATCTGCATTCCGGATAGAAAAAAGGGAAATATAATAAAAAGTCTTTAAGGTAAAGAAAATAGGAGCAAAAATAGTATTTTTTACCCCTATTATGATGGTAAAGAATGACTTTATTTGGCCACTAGGTCTTATTTTCTTTACCATCACAAGACCTCGTGGCCAAATAAAGTCATTCTTTACCATCACATCTTAAATGTTTTGGCTAAGTTATAAAAATTTACAGTATATTATTAAATTATATCATACCATTTAACTTAAAAGAAAAAGCATCCCATCGTCACAAGAATAATGTTCTAGACCAAAATATACCATGAAAAAATCTTGTAGAATAAAAATCTACTTAACAGAAAACAAATAATAATATAAAAGAAAGGATGGAATAAAAAAGGTAATAATCTAACATGAAGTAAAAGGAAAAACATATTATGGAACAAATGAGTATATAGAAATAAAAAATAAATAACTTAAATAGAAAATAAATTAATAAAAGGGTGAACAAAACATAAGGAAAAAATAATAAAAAGAAAAATATACACATAATGTAGGAAAATAAAAGAACACCACGTTTATACTACTTGAACAACCTAAAATATACCATAGAACATCTCAGTGGTATTATATGAATACTCGTAAAAATCATAAAATATATAACAGAACATCACATACATACTAATGAACATCACAAAGTATATCCTAGAACATCACAAAATGTATGTTAGGACATGACATCTATACTACTGAACATCACAAATGCATCATAGAACATCACATTTATACTACATGAACATCACAAAATATAGCATAGAATATCACATGTATATTGCGTGAACATCACAAATGCATCGTAGAACATCACATTTATACTACGCGAACATTATAAAATATAGGATATAACATTGCATGTATATTACGTGAACATCACAAAAATGCATCGTAGAACATCACATTTAAAGTACGCGAATATCACAAAATATAGTATAGAACATCACATGTATACTGCGTGAATATCACATATATCATGAAATATAAAAGTAAAAAAGTAAAAAAAAATAGTGAAGTAAGCAATTAGTCTCAAATAACAAAGAAAAAAAATGCTACCGAAAATTATAAAATTAAAAATCTTGAAAACTTTAAAAGTAAGACATAAAAATGATTAAAATTTAAAACTAGAGTAAAATGAAAAAGATCTACATAAAGCAGATTAAAAAAACTTAAAAATAAAATTTAGTAAAGAAAAATATTTTAATAATGAAAAAAATAAAAGAATGATAAAGAAAATGAAAATAAGAATAAAAGACAAAAAAAAAAAAAAAGGGAAAAGGAAAAGCAGAAGAAATGAACGAAAGAAAAAAGAAACACAAAAACATAAAGCAAATAAATAAATTTTAGGATAAAGAAATAAAAAAAGAATATAAAAAATAAAGAAATAAGAATAAGAATAAAAACCCAAAGAAAAAAATATAATAATAAGAAAGGAAAAAATATTAAAACATGGGAAAAGATCACAGAAAATAAATACAAAAAGAAGTAGAAGCATGGAAGAAGGAAAGAAAAGGGAATCGTTCGTATACTTGACGACGAAGGTGCAAAGCAACCTCACATCCAGGTCGTCCACATGCTGGGCCGATGTCAAGGCTAGGCCCAAAACACAATTACCTGCTCGAGACGGGAGGGGGGTCGGTAGGAGGAACCCGTCCGACTGGTCGGCAATGATGGGTTTCGGGGGTCGGCAGGCGACTTCCTGCCACCTAGGTTGGCACCTAGGGCCCCCTGTTTGGTTGGCCATCCCATTCCCATGATATTTGAAGTGTGATAAAAAACTTCGATGGTCTTGTTAGAAGATTTGGGCTGGCCCAAATAATATTTCCTAAACAAATCCCAAAGGCCCACTCACACATGCATGGTATGGTGGGGGACTTTAGTCCCATACTGTCATTCTAGAAGGAGTGAGGCCAACTTAAATGGCTGAGTTGTCTCCAACTAGTTGAAGCTATTTGGGAGAGGAAAAGGAAGAACACACGCGCTCGCCTTGCCGGGCCGGGCGGGGCGATGGGCGCGCGACATACGCGTGAATGGTTCAGCGATTTCTCGCTTCGACCTTGTGGGTGCACGGCTTCCTTTTGCTACTCGATATTTTTGCATGCATGGAGAAAATTGCGCTAGCTTGTTTTGGCAAGCAAATATTCTCGTATTAATAGTGATTGCTCAAATTGCTCTAGTCGACTAATGGTAGGTCAATCACGTTAATGCTATGATTGCATGGCTAATTACTTTTCTTATTAGCTATGACATGTGTATAT